AGATTCCATATGGCACCCCCACCCGTTCAACTGTCATCCAGGACAGCCACTGACAGCTGAAGTGTAAACAAAGGGGCATGATTGATCATACTTGGTCAATTACATCAGAAACCAGCTCTGCCCCTTTATTGATATTTCAGGTGTCAAAGGGTGAACTGTGTTTGGCAAGTGTAGTGATGGGAAGCTGACAGAGAGCATGGGCCTCTGTGAGTTATTGTTTCAGTTGTTGCCCTTGATGAGGATCTGCATTTATGGGCAACATGGTCGTTGATTGACTTTGGGGGGTTTAATTTTTTTTATTAAAGGACCTGTAAAAAGGTGTATGAATTTAATACTCACTCTTTTGTTAAAGAGCCCCCTATATATTTTCATGGGGGGGGCAGCAACTAAGGGCCCCCTTATTTTTAAAGTAGATTCCAGTAAGCCCCCTGCATGCAGAGCCCCACAACCACTGGGCCAGATCTGTGGGGAAGAGTGTTTGTTCTCCAAAACATAACATGGAAACACTGGCAAGGTATCCTCCAAAATATGGCCTGATATGGTTTAGGGGTTGGAGAGGGCCTCACACTCACCCCCCCCCCCCCTCCTTTTTCCTCCATGCTTGGATTAGGGTCCAGTGTGTATTTTTGAGGATCCTGTTATTTTTTTTTCTTGTGTAGGGTCTCCCCTTTTTTTGCATGAGGTTCTCTGACATCCATACCAGATGCTCATCACAAGGGTCTGGTATTTATTTGTAGGGAGAACCATACTTTTTTTGCATGGGTTCCCCCTTAGGGTCTATACCAGACCCTTGTGTAAGATAAGGGTCTAGTATAAGTGCATTTTGCTGTAGTACATTGTGTCACTTCACAGGTAGATTGAGGGTATCCCCAAGCATATTACTTAAAGGAATTGTTCATTTTCATGCCATTTGTTTTGAAATCCCTTTATTAGTGTAGAAAATGGCCATTTCTGATTTTTAAGTTTCAGCTCTCATCAACTTCAGTAGATTCGGCACCCTAACTTCAGTACAGTTCAGTTCCACCCCAATCCGAACCCATGTACATGTACCTCTTCACTACAGACAACCTTCACTGTTCTTGATTCAAATTGATTCAAAGAAGAAAAAGAGGTGGATCTTGAGCCAAATCTCAGGAACAGGAAAGCAGAAACAGGCAGACATCTCCAAATGTCACAAAAGCATGCATTATGTATCTATCAACAGAAAGATTAAAACCTGTACAGCATGTTAATTGGGGTTTAACTGCAATATTGATAGTGATGAATTTTTGAATGGGGCATTGCCAAGAGAAAGATGAGAGACATAAGACCGAACAATGCAGAAGAGCTGAAGGCCATTATTGAAGCATCCTGATCTTCCATAACACCTCAGCAGTGCCACAGGCTGATAGCTTCCATGCCACGCCTCATTGAGGCAGTAATTGCTGCAAAAGGGGCCCAAACCAAGTACTGAGTACATATGCATGCTTATACTTTTCAGAGGTCCGATATTGTTCTATGTACAATCCTTGTTTTATTGATTGCATGTAATATTCTAATTTTCTGAGATTGTGGATTTGGGGTTTTCATGAGCTGTAAGCCATAATCATCACAATTTTGACAAATCACAGCTTGAACTATCTTGCTTTGCATGTAATGAGTCTATCTCATATATTAGTTTCACCTGTTAAGTTGCATTATTGAAATAAATGAACTTTGCACGATATTCTAATTTTTCAAGTTTCACCTGTACATTCCCAGCTCTACTCATCTTCACAAATAGGGGTAAGAGTTCTGTAGTCCTTATACACTTCTTGTTCTAGGGTGCCAACACTGCTCCTCCATAGACACAGAATAGTGTTTGGGTGTTGTCACCCAAGAGTAGAAAGTATGATACTTGCAGGATCACCAGGTGAAAATAAGCCTGAAAAAGGAAAAATAATGGATCGAAGGACTGGTGAGTTGCAATATCTTACATTTTTGTTCTTGGATTTAGATATTCCTGAATCTACAGAATGTGGTCATCTAATGGTTGATATATACTTTTTTGTATTTCATTGGTTACTTTATAGGTCTTGAGGATTAAAATGGACAAATGGGGTTCTTAAAAAAAAACTATACTCACCTAGGTGGGTGCAGCATTGGTCTGATGGTGCATCTGTCCCCCACTACTTCTAAGACTGAGAACTGAGCAATCAAAGATCGCTGATCACTTGGTTCTCAGTCATCAGTTAGCAAAGAGCCATGCCAGTCAGTCTCCCGGATCTCTGCTCTGCCTTTCCAGCACTCACTGGAGCGCTGGGCTGTGGAGGGGGTGATGAGAGAGGCTGGCTCAGGCTCTCTGCGGCTAACTGAAAGGCTGAGCCAGCTGCCGGTCCACACATCTAGGTGGATCCCAAGCGGTGAAGTCGGGATCAATCCAGAGCCTGACTAATGTCATCTGACAGCAGGCTTTAACCTGTGCTGTCAGCTGAAAATGGGTCATAGGAGTGCCAAAACTAACTGAATTCTTGTGACCATAGAAGTAGGGCTGGAAAAGCTTTGTCCATACATCTGCTTTAAGTTAAATAAAGTAACTATTACACTTAAATCTAATGTAATTAATTTAATTTAATTAAATATATTGTTAATATTATTAATTGATTAATGCATTCTTTAGGTTATTTTTAATTTCATATTGGCACGTATATTGGCACCAATAAAGTCCCTAATATTTATGTTATAATGTCCCAGTAATGTATTGCTGAACTCTCCCTATATATATATTACAGTCATGGGCAAATTGTTGGCACCCTTGATATTTTTCCTGAAAATCATGTAATTTCTCACGAAACGTATTGCATTAAACACATGTTTTGCTATACACATGTTTATTCCCTTTGTGTGTATTGGGGACAAACAAAAAAAGGGAGGAAAGAAAGGCAAATTCCGACATAATGTACACAAAACCTCCAAAAATGGGCTGGACAAAAGTATTGGCACCCTTTCACAACTGCGGATAAATAAGAATGTTACAAGCAGTGATGCTCCCCTGTAAACTCACCTGGGGCAAGTAACAGGTGTGGGGGCAATATAGAAAAATCACACCTGAAAGCAGATAAAAAGGAGAGACGTTCTTAACCTTTGCATTGTGTGTCTGTCTGTGCCACACTAAGCATGGACAACAGAAAGAGGAGACGAGAACTGTCCTGAGACCTGAGAACCAAAATTGTGGCAAAATATCAACAATCTCAAGGTTTACAAGTCCATCTCCAGAGAACTAGATTTGCCTTTGTCCACAGTGCGCAACATTATCAAGAAGTTTGCAACCCATGGCACTGTAGCTAATCTCCTCGGGTCGTGGACACATGATGGATGAGGAAAATTGATGAATTAGATTGCAACGCAGAATAGTTCCGGATGGTGGATAAGCAGCCCCAAACATGTTCCAAAGACATTCAAGCTGTCCTGCAGGCTCAGGGAGCTCAGTGTCAGCGCGAACTATCCGTCGACATTTAAATGAAATGAAACGCTATGGCAGGAGACCCAGGAGGACCCCACTGCTGACACAGAGACATAAAAAAGCAAGACTACAGTTTGCCAAAATGTACTTGAGTAAGCCAAAAGCCTTCTGGGGAAAAACGTCTTGTGGACAGATGAGACCAAGATAGAGCTTTTCGGTAAAGCACATCATTCTACTGTTTACCGAAACGGAATGAGGCCTACAAAGAACAAAACACAGTACCTACGGTAAAATATGGTGGAGGTTCAATGATGTTTTGGGGGTTGTTTTGCTGCCTCTGGCACTGGGTGCCTTGACTGTGTGCAAGGCATCATGAAATCTGAGGATTACCAAAGGATTTTGGGTCGCACTGTAGGGCCCAGTGTCAGAAAGCTGGGTTTGCGTCAAGATCTGGGTCTTCCAGCAGGACAATGACCCCAAACATACGTCAAAAAGCACTCAGAAATGGATGGCAAAGAAGCGCTGGAAGAGTTCTGAAAGTGGCCAGCAATGAGCCCAGATCCTAAATCCCACTTGAACACCTGTGGAGAGATCTTAAAATTGGCTGTTTTTTTGGGAAAAGGGTGTCCTTACCAATAAGAGAGACTGGAGCTGTTTGCAAAGGAAGAGTGGTCCAATTCCGGGTGAGAGGTGTCAGAAGCTTATTGATGGTTATAGGAAGCGACTGATTTCAGTTATTGTTTTCCAAAGGGTGTGCAACCAAATTTAAGTTAAGGGTGCCAATACTTTTGTCCAGCCCATTTTTTGGGGTTTTGTGTGGGACATTATGTCATATTTGCTTTTCTGCCTCTGTTTTATATTTGTTTCCAATACATACAAAGGAATATGTGTATAGCAAAACATGAGTTAATGCAATACCTTTTTTGTGTGAAATACTTGTATTTCAGGAAAAATATCATCAGGGTGCCAACATTTCGGCCATGACTGTATATATATATATATATATACTCTCAAATCAAAAGAATACCATGATGTGCAAAATAAAATTGACAACCTAGTATTGCTTAATCCAAAAATACACATACATTTTAAGCATACCATATAAATTGGTAATTACATATATTAAGAACAAGATATGGTATGCTAAAATTGATGTGTATTATAATATACAGTATAGGGAGATGCAGCAATACACTTACTGGGACATTATAATTTATATTGTGGGAAACACTTTTTTTGCTTGCAGCCACCCCAGTTTAATATTTGTAATTTTGGACACCAGAAAAATTATTATTATTATTTGGAAGATTGCAGGATAATCATATATTCTTTATATATGGCACAAATATTTATTTATAAAAAGACAGCAACATTTTTCATTTATTTATCATTATTGTTTTTCATGTTATCATTGACATTTTTTTCCTCTTGCAGATTGATGTTAACATACAGCAACAATGATAAAAACCTTAAGGATTTTTTTAGTAATGCTATGTATGACAGCTGCTGGATTTCTGTATAAGGTCACATACAAAGGCAGCAACTTTCCCTACTTTTCCTACATCTTTATATAGAAAGCATGGGACATGACACTGCAAATACAATTGTATCTGTAAACCAGTCAGATGGCGCCACAACTGTGGGGACAACTAAACATTCAAAAGTCACACCAGAAGAGATCCTGAGTGGTGGAAACAGCATCGTATTTCTGGAGACCAGTGAAAGGATACAACTCCCTTCCTTGGTCTTATGTGCAATCGAGTCAGCAGCTCAAGTCTACCCACACAGATCAGTGGTTCTTTTCATGAAGGGATTAAACCATACAAATGCAGAAGATCAGGAGAATGTTCTCAGTCATTACCCAACCCTTTTATCTCTGGACAATATTTACATCTTTCCTCTGATAATGGAAGATATTTTCAACAATACGCCTCTTTTCAACTGGTATGAGAAGGTAAGATTTAGAAGACTTCGAGGACTAAAATACAAAATGGGAGCTCTTTGTCATTACAATTGTATTCCAGAACAGCTTCCATTCAGTCTCAGTTGTGCCAGTCAAGAATCACAACCCCATTTAAAGCTGAATCTCAGGCAGGTAGAAAAAGAACAGTTCACTTATGTATCAATTAAAAATTGCATTTATTTTGACTAGGTTAGGCTTGATCTTCAAGTCAAATATAAGTTCAACTCAAACATCGGCCATTCATGTGGTTGGCGAACACACGAACAGTAAGGGCATTCGCCCACCACGCCCCACAATGCACTGCACCCCCTGACAGTGCATTGTGATTGGCCAAAGCAATGCACCTGACCACAGGTCAGATGCAATGCTTTGGCCAATCACAGTGCATGATGATGTCAAAATGGGGCCCCCTTGTGAAATCATCACAGTATTTAAGAACTGTCAGGCTGGTGCAGCTGTCAGATGGCTGGAGCCAGTGTCTAGAACAGAGCATTTTCTTTCTTTTTTTTTGGGGGGGGGGGTCAGTGGTGGTGGTGGGCATCATGATTGACATTAGATCTACTTTTTTTTTTCTTTGTTTTTAATAAATTACTTATCAAACACTGTCTTCTGTAATTTTTTTACACCACACTTTTTTTTGTGAATTAGTGGTACCATGTACCCCATACTCATTCACATGGGGTGGGGGGCGGGATTAAGGGGCTTGTTAAAGGGAGCTTCCAGATTCCCTTAAGCCCCCAGCCTGCAGACCCCCGTAACCATTGGCCACAATTATGGGGAAGAGGCCCTTGTCTCCATCAGCCCATAAACATGGGGACAAGGTGCTTTGGGGGGGAGCCCCCCATGTTGAGGGCATGTGGCCTGGTATGGTTCAGAAGGGGGGGGGAGAGCTCACTCGTCCCCCCCCCTTTCCTGAACTGCCAAGCTGCATGCTCAGATAAGGACCTGGTATGGATTTTGGGGGGACCCCATGCAATTTTTTAATGGCAGCTGACAGCTGAAACATTAAAGAATGTTTTCATTACTAAAATACCACATGACTTAACAATAAAACTCATACGATATTTTAGTAGCTGTGCGGTATCTTACTGCTTACTCAGATACAGTGAGATACTGCTTAGTGAATTGTCCCTGTTCAAAGTTCGCGGTCGAACCTTCGTTAGGTTTGAATGTTCGACCGAGAACTGAACAGGGGGGTGTTTGGCCCATCACTTATTTGGACAAAGAACTGATAAAAGTATATAAATTTGCAATTAGTTTCCTGTAATCTGATATGTAGCAGCCCACAGACTGGGAGAAGGAGGGACAGCATACTTTGCCAGTAAGGGCTCTATGGCTTACAGACGTCACATTTAGATGAGGGTGGGCACGTGGCCCTTCAGTGTGCTGCTGATAAATATTTTTCCAGACAAAATTTTCACTCCAACTCCACCAAAGTTGTCCTTTAAAGTATATCTAACATCAAAATGTTCTTGCTTTTTAGTTTTGGATATAGCAGAGAATAGTTAAATTGGGTTTTTATTTAATCTAACACTTCCTTTATTTCCTGTCATGTAGACACAACAAAATGGAAGAGAAAATCTGTTATCCAAGAAGGGTCCTTATTATTGTGATTACCTAGCCAAGTCAAATAAGGGTAAATTACAATGGTGAATAAGCTATGGTTGTATTAGTTCCATCCTGCTTGACCTCTGTTTCAGGGGATTCTTGGCCAGATTTAGCCCCCTCTTAACCAAAGCTGGCCATACACGTATAGATTTTTTTCCTTTATCCACACTTTACAGAATGGTATACAAATCTTCCACTGCTGCCTTTGTATTTTGACAACTGGCCCAAGGAACTAGCTGAAATTTGAACAGTGTATGGCCAGCTTAACTAACATACATACAATTATACAAAGCACACTTAACAGGGAGGCTTTGAATTGCCTCATATGCCATTTATTTTTTTTTTTTATATACAATATTGATGTTGCATTGGATGCATGTTTCAAAAGCTGGCTAGAAATGCTTATACTTAGCACAATGGCAAGCACTATCTGCCTAGAGTTTGCATGTTCTGGCTGTGTGGGTTTCCTCCAGGTACTCCGGTTTCCTTCCACACACCAAAGACATGCTGGTAGGTTAATTGGCTCCTGCCCAAATTGGCCCTAGTATGTGTATGTATGAATGTGAATTAGGGATATTACATTATATTGTAAGCTGCGTAAATTGCCGGCGCTAAATAAGTACATGTAAAAAATAAATAATTTGTTGGCGGTTTGAATAAATGTTTTTTATTGTTTATACTATATCTAGGATAGTTTGGTGTAGTTTTTATGTAGCACCTGTAGGTTTGGGAGTTTGTTTACTAAAGGCAAATAGACTTCTCACTTTACAAGGGAATTTCCCCTAGAACTTAGTGAATGAAATGAAGCTCTGCTGACTTACATCATTCTATCATGTGCAATCAAAAAAAGCTTTTTTTTATGTTCCTTGCTTATGATTGATTCACTGAAAAATTTCACCACTTTCGCAAAGCTATGGGGATACTTCCCTTGCAGAGCAACTTCCTTTGCAAAGCAAACAGCCTATTTGCCTTTAGTAAATCAACCCCTTAGTTATTGATTGGTCTACCTACGTACAGGACAAGGCACACTCTTTTGAGGACAGTAAGGTACATATTTTAGACATAAAGAAAATGTAGCCCAAAATACAGGTCATTTCAAAATTCTGGTCAGATTAGAACAATCTATACCAAACAAAGGTGAGGGATTGCAGAACCATCTATAAGTATCATACAATGGTGCTCCAACAATTTTGCGTCAGCATTTTAACACTTTCAGTTAGGTGACTCCCATTCAACAGCTGCTTCATTGAGGTGCATTTTTACCAAGAATGTACTCCAGTTAAAGCAGAACTAAGCCCTTCTATCCTTTTCAGCTAAAGGATCTTTTCACACTGATGGTCTGATCGGGTCCACCTGTCTGTTTTTCAGGCGGACCAGATTGGACCATCCATAAATCTCTATGGACCGGTTGACACCCGCTGGCATCCAATCCGATCTTGTATGCCAGCGGATTGGATCAGATGAAAGTTGGGTGGAAAGGGACTGGTAGTCCATTTCCATCCCATAGGAAAAAGCAGACTGTGTCTGTGTCCGCTCTGCAGCAGCGGAGCGGGCACATACCTGTCATCTGCTTGCTCAGTGGGGATCAGCAGAGAGATCCCCTGCTGAGCAAAAGAATCCGCTGGCCGGTCCGTCCCATCTGAAGGAGACCTTAAAAGCTGCCATCTTAGCTTCTGTTTGATCTTTAACTGCCATGAGGCTGCACATGTGATCAGTTATGACACCAGCAATTTGATGGTTTGACAGTTTGATTGAGAACACAAGCAACTGTGACACTCTTCACTCTGAGGAAGTCACGTGGATCGTGACGTAAACGCGTTAAGGTACGCACTGACATCATTTCCAGTGGCACAGTGACGTCATTTTCGGCATCGGCGCCATTTCTGGAGGGATTGTGGAGCAAGTGGAGCTGCATGCATTTCTTAGCATGAGAAACATGGAAACACACCCATGATATGGGAAAAAGCTGATCTTTGTCATTTTACATTACCTAGGAGATAGGAGAAGATATTGGAGGGATCTATCCATACGTTCCATCCTTTGATGATAACTTATTGGGTGCATAAGGTCACCTACATAGCTATTTGGCCCAGTGGGTCGCATCAAGGAGGTGAGGGGCCATCTTGGCCATCTGTGGATTGACCGCACACTGAGTGGCACTGTGATCACCTCACGGAGTTTTGCTGTGATTTTTCACCATCATTGGCATTTATGGACTGCTGCACATAGTATTCATTTTATGAGCACCTAACACTGAATATTTATTGTGCATTCTATATGTGATATTTCCATTTATCTCATTTGTATTTTAGTATAGGTTGTTAGCGTTGCACTATTTTTTGTATTTTTAAGCAAATGTGACAGTTAGCATTCCCAGCATGCCAGGAATGTAACTGTTTTTTGAAACCAGTGAATCAGTGGGGTTGGTTCCGCTTTAACTTCTGCATGACATTATAGTGATTGGTAAGGATGACTGGGATGGCTTTGTTGAAGTTAAAGTAAAATAACAACAAAATACACATACATAATTAGGAAACACACTAGGGAAAGGATAATGTATCTGTAAAAAAGTGTGCACTATTGTTGTATTAGCCCATTCAGACTTACAGCAAGTACTCTGTTCTTGGGGGTCTTTAAGTAACCTCCTTTGTCCCAGACCCATTTCCTTCTTACAAATGTTTAGGTGTGAACCTAGACTAATACAATATGCTGCTTGTTGCTATCCTCACAGTGTCCTCTTGAAGAAATCCATTGTGCATTATTTGAATTAGAGCTTCATTCTCTATTACATTCACATTGTAAGATCGACAGTCACTATGCTGTGTATCCCCGCAGCCACCGGTCTTTCCTCTGACCCACTGTAGTTCTTTACAGCAAGCAGGGACTATGTCCTTGCTCGCTGTAGTGGGCAGATTGAGAAGTCTTAGACTCATTGTCTGAGCCTCCCACAATGTGTATGTGACTGTGACTGGCTATGTTGACATATCCAAGATAGAGCCCTCGGAACCATCTCCGTCCTCCACTCCTCCTTTAAAGTGTTACTAAACCCACAACAGTAAAGTCAATATGTATATGCAGTAAAGCATGCTTGTTATACTCACTGTGAAACCTAAGGGGTTAATCTTCTGCATTGTGTAAAAAGGCTGTTTGATCCTGTCTTCCCTGTTCCTCCCCTTTTTAAAGTAACCACCACTCCAGACTGAACCATAGGCATGCACATTCTCAATTTGGTGTATATTGCTAGAGAGGTTTTTTTTTCCCTTGGGAGGGTGCATGTGATCAGCACAGGGCCAATCAGCACTGTCCGGAGAGAGGTCAGGGGATTTCTATGCTCCTAGAGCAGAAAGAAAACTCCTTCTACAAGCTTTAGCTAGTGCTCAGCT